AAACTCAGTGGGTATTCTACTCTGTCTTGTAGAGTCACTATGAGTCAGATCGATTTAATGACACATCTGACTATGAGCTGGATATGTCTTTTAGACCAAAAGTCCATATGACTTGAGTGGGCCATGAGACCTTTTCATCATGTTGTTGTTGTTGTTAGGTGCTGTCGAGTCATCTCTGACTTATAGTGACTCTATGCACAGCAGAACAAAATACCACCCAGTCCCACGTCAGCACCGTGATCCCTGCTATACTTGAGCCCATCGCCACAGCCACTCTGTCAGTCCATCTTGTTGAGGGCCTTTCCTTCTTTCATCATATTTCATACCAGTGAAATAGCTGGAATGTGATGCATTAGTAGGGTTTTTTTTTTTTTTTTTTTTTTTACCAGGTTTTTAAAATGTATGTATATCAGTTTCCTTTGGCTGTTGTAACAGAGTGCCATGAACTGGGTGACTTAAAACAGCAGAAATTTTTTCTGTCACAGTTCTGGAGGCCAGAAGTCCAAAAATCAAAGGGTCAGCAGTGCCATGATCTCTCTGAAGGCTCTAAGGGAGGGATTCTTCTTTGCCTCTTAGAGCTTCTGGTAGTTCCAGGAGTTTCTTACTTGTACCAGCATAACTCCAGAATCTTTCTTCATCTTCATGTCACCATCTTCTCTTTGTGTCTGTGTCTCTTCTACTCTTTTTACAAGGATACTAGTCATATTAGATTATGGCTCACCTTACTCTCCAGTGTGACTTCATATTAATTACATCTGAAGAAGATAGGTACTGGAGGTTAGGACTTCAACATATCTTTTTTAGGGACACAATAACATTATAGGTAGCATGTACATAGTACAGAATTTGTATGATTTAAAAATTACATGGTAAAAATTGACTCCTTGCCACCCCTTTTCTTTAGCCATTCCTTATTATCAGTTTCTTATGTATTCTTCCAGAGATATTCTATGCATATGTAAACTTATATAATAATAAATATTATATAACCAAAAAACAAACCAAAATCACTGCCATTTAGTCGATTCAGACTCACAGCAACCCCTTTGGGTTTCCAAGGTGGTAAATCTTTATGGAAGTAGATTGCCCAATTTTCCTTCCATGGAGTGGCTAGTGGGTTTGAACTGACAACCTTCTGGTTAGAAGTCATATACCTTAGGCCCTATGCCACCAGAGCTCCTTAAATATAATATATATTATATAATAATATATAATATAAATATTAGGGAAAATCATATGTGAGCTGGACAATGAATAGGGAAGACTGAAGAAGAGTTGATGCTTTTGAGTTGTGGTGTTGGTGAAGAATATTGAAAGTACCATGGACTGCCAAAAGAACTAACAGATCTATCCTAGAAGAAGTGCAGCTGGGATGCTTCTTGGAAGTGAGAACGGTCAGACTTCGTCTTACCTACTTTGGTCATGTTGTCAGAAGGGGTCATTCCTTGGAGAAGGATATCATGCTTGGGAAACTGGAAGGTCAATGAAAAAGAGGAAGGTCCTTGATGAGATGAATTGACAAGGTGGCTGCAACGATGGGGTCAAGTTTAGCAAGGTTTATGAGGCTGGCACAGGTCTGGGCAGTGTTTTATTTTGTTCAGTACATAGAGTCACTGTGGGTCGGAGCCAATTTGATGGCACCTGACAACAGCAACAACTACATAAAATAGATTATAAATAATAATATATTGTTATATAGTAAATAAATATTAGGGAAAAATTAAGCCACACATACACATGTCCATTTTACCATAAAGAGTAAGTGACTTATGGTTGATAGATTGCCCAATCTTCCTTCCAAGGAGTGGCTGGTGGGTTTGAACCACAAGCCTTCTGCTTAGTAGTCAGATGCCTTAGGCACTATGCCACCAGAGTTCCTAGTTGATATATAGCTTTTATAAATCTTATTATTTCATAGAATCACATTAGAGATAGAGACAGAGAGAGATAGGAACACACAGAAGCAAAATAGACAAATGAAAATTCCATAAAAGATAAATTTTAAGAGGCAACAAAAGTAGCAGGTTTCCATTATCTTATTTTATTTTAGCTTTCAGAGGATTAAAGACTTTACCTTAAAGTTCACCTCCATCATGAAGCTGTTTTTGGGTCCTCTAGGTAGAAGTAACCACTATCTTTATGCCTTTTTTATTTCTATCCAAGAACTAATGATTTATTACATGTTATTTTTTACATGTGCTTCTCCCATTAGAGTGAACAGTTTGGAGTTATGCACAGGCAATAACAGCTCTGGTGGCATAGTGCCTAAGGCATTTGACTGCTAACCAGAAGGTTGGTGGTTCAAACCCACCAGCCACTCCGCAGAAGGAAGACTGGGCAATCTACTTCCGTAAAGAATTACCACCTCAGAAACCCAAAGGGTGTCACTATGAGTCGGAATGGACTCTGTGGCAGTTAGTGACAACATAAGCAATAACTGTTAAATAATGAATGAGTTCTTTACATATGAATAGCTACAAAAGGTAGAGGAGTCATTTCCCCATCTTTTACATTTTCTCTTTGTTGGCAGTTTACTTCCTTTTCTGCTGTTAACCTTATTTTACAGAAGAAGCTGACTGTGTGCCTTTGCTTGCTACCCTGCCCATCCTACAGTGTAATTCTTCCACTAATATGTCCTGTTTTCTTTTACTTTGCTCTTATATACTTGTTCCGAAGTAGATTTGGCCTTAAAATCAATTCATTTGAGAATTCTTAATCAACTTCTTTTCCCATTTCAATTCTTTTGTTGTCTAATATGACAGTTACTGGGAACTCTGGTGGTATAGTGCCTAAGGCATTTGGCTGCTGACCAGAAGGCTAGCAGTTTAAACCCATAGTGCTCCTTGGAAGGAAGGTTGGGCAATCTACTTCCGTAGTGATACTGCCTTGGAAACCCAAGGAGGGGTTGCTATGAGTCAGATCTGACTTGACAGCAGTGAATTTTTTTTTTTTTTTTAAAGACAGTTACTGGTAGTGGCATGGAACAAGGAGTGTTCCTTTTTCTACTGTTTATAACCTAATGGAAGATATGTCCCTGACATCCAGAATAATAATCTCAAATGTGCTTTGTCATGAAATTTCTTTCAACTTTATTCTTTAAATTATTTGCATAAAAAAGTTTTTATGACCAATAAAGTAGTAGTTTCTTTCATGTCAAAACACACACACATACACACACACAGGGCTTTGAAGAAACCTTATTCCAAAATCTGACTTTTAAAAACTATTACCAGATGTCAATTCTGAAAACGCTATCAACTGTAGTTTTTCTTTCCAATTCATAAGAATATTGTCATGTAATCTTTTGCAGGAGCATTTCATATTCTGAATAACATTTCTCATGGAACCTCTCTCCCCTACATCAGGACCTAGTGTTATTTACTGCTTACTATTCTTTCTTATACTGACACTTAGGTTCTAAGTGAGGGGGATAACATATGAGAAGGTTCTCAGACAGAAAAAGCAGGTCAAATTCAAGGAACCAAAAGAAACCAATGTTTCTGAGTAATGTTGCTATAGCTAAGTGAATGAGGGAGATACAGTGATAAGCAATAAACAGGCAAGGCCTAGATTGTTAATGAGTTTGGATTTTGTGCTAATTGGAATAGGAAGCCATTGGTGCTTATTGTTGGTAAGCTAATGGGGAGATATTTTGTTTCTGGCTTTGGCACTTGACTCCCAGTTACATCATTATTTATATGCGAAAATGATTTTCTGTTTATAAACAATTCAGTGCATTTTCTAAGGGTTTAATATACATGCTACTATGCATAAAATCTATAGTAGTTTTCTTTTTAAAGAAAGATATTTGAGAAAATTAGAATATTATAATCACTGATGCAGTTCAATGGACTGCTTCTATATGGTCTTTCCAGCCATGATCTTGTAACACCCACTAAATGATTTGGTGAAACTATGCAGTTAAGAAGCTTCTGACCCACCAAGGGGATTAGATAGCTTGCTAATGATGCAAATAAGGTGCATGGCATCCTTGTGGAGGGTGGAAGCATACAAATAAGGTGTATGGAATCCTAAGAGGGGATTGGTTAGTTTTATCATCCTCCTAGGCTTAAAATGAACCATCCCAGGGTGGGAAGGGGAGACTTCACTACCACCAAGGAAAGACGGGAGTGGAGCAAGGTCTAAAATACCTTGGATCTCTGTGCTGAGAACCTCCTAGGCTCAAGGACAGGGAGAGCTATAAAACTGGAGATGATGCAAGCTGGTGAGAAGGGGTGGCAGAGAAATGGCAGTAGCAGAACCAGGAGACTGGTGAGATGCCACACTGGACACAGAACAAGGCAGTTACAGTCAGTATGCCAACCCATGGAGCTTTGAGAAAGCTGAGCACCTTTGAGTAGGAGACTTGCTGGTGGAGTGGGATGCCTCTGGGTACTTCGTGTAGTGAGGCTTGCCAGCCCACCAAACAAGAGAGCTTAGTGCCTTCAGGCTCTGGCTTGTAGGCAGAGTGGGGGTACCTATGGACACTTATTGGTGGAGCTAAAGAGCTTTGTAACACTTGCCTGAGCAGGGCAGAGGCCAAACTGAGTGGCCTAGGGCCAGAGAGAGAATCACTTGCAAACATAGCTGAGAAGAGGCTGACCTAACTGAAAAACTACCCTGAGTCATTTCTGGTCCTGAATTGTAACCTTGTTATTTCCCTAAGAATCTCCATAATTGCGAGCATTGTCTGTGAGTTCTGTGTGGCCATTTCAATGAATCATCATTTCCAGCAGAGACGTAGAGTGCCATGGGAGGGATAGTTAGTATAGGAATTGGTAAAAATGTTAGAGAGAGGTGGGTATGTCTGACGTCTGGCTCACAGGGATCAGCCTTGGGCTGTTCATACTCATTTTCTTTCCCTGTTATGAAATTAGAGCAGATCAGTTGCCCCCTCCACTCTACTGCCATTTTTATAACTGGCTATGATTTGTTAATAGATCGAGTCATTAATTAAAGGACATTAACCATTAATTCCTTTTTCTTCCATATATGTTTAGAGATGATATTACGCTACTCAGACAAGAAGTCCAAGACCTACAGGCTTCATTGAAGGTTAGAATAAAAAAAGTATAATTGTTTGTTTTCAGTATTTCAGATAATAAATTAAAAAAAATACTAAGTAAATAGTTTTTTTTTCCCCACTAGGAAGAAAAATGGTACTCAGATGAATTAAAGAAAGAACTAGAAAAATTTCAACGGTTGCAGCAGCAAGTAATTTCTTTCAAATCCTTCAAGCATGTTTATTAGTTTATTATCATTGTTGAAAATTAAGTATAATACTCACTTATAAGCAGGTGACTTGATATAAATAACTTTCTAATTTGTTTCCCAGTGTTAAATAGCCTATATCATATGATCTTTGCAATTTTAATGACTGCATGGAAATATATGGGGAGTGCAGATGTAACTTCTTATAGGTGCCTCTGTTAAAGAATCAGTTACCTTAAAAATTGTTTTTTATGCCAGGCTACTTTATTTTAATTGTCTAGCAGCATACTTGAATGGCTGTAACATATAGATTCAAACAGTAGTGAGCCTCTTCAAAGGAGGTATATTTGTGGCAAATTGGAAATAACTAGAATGTCTGTTGGTAGAAGAAGGACTATTCTTTACCTATTTACAATTTTTGTTAGTGAAGCTTGTTTAAAAACATGAAAAAAATGTCCCATTAATGATAGGTTTTGAAAAAACAGAACAAGAGGTGTGTGTATGTGTGTGTACCTGTGTGTGTGTAGCTCTGGTAGTGTAGTCGTTAAGGCATTTGCCTGCTAAACAAAAGGTCTGTGGTTCAAACCCACTAGCTGCTCTGCAGAAGAAAGATGAGGCAGTCTGCTTCCATAAAGATTTATAGCCTTGGAAATCCGTGGGGATTGCTATGAGTTGGAATCAACTGGATAGCAGTGAGTTTACACACATACACACACACTTTTACTTTACATTAAAATAACAGAAAAAAACATAAATCATTTTTATCAAAAGTGGTTATCTATGAGTGTGGGATTATTTTTAATGGCTTAGATTGTTTATATTTCAGTGTATTTCCTAAATAAATGCCTTGTGTTTTTTGTACCAAAATGATACTGATTTTTATACTAAAATTACATAAAGAATCAAAGAATAATGAATTTTACCAAATCCATTGTATCATTTTGATTTTTAGGAGTAAAGTGGGTACACTTTAAAATAGTTCCAATATTTTGCTAAAGTAATTGACTAATTACTTTATGCATTATATCTTAGCACACTGTGGTTCTTACTCAGCCTTCTCTTTTCTTTGTATCAAGAATTGTCATTGGCTGGAAAAGACAAAAACAAATAAATGTATATCAGTTTTATTACTACTTGGCTTCTCTAATTGTGGATACTGTTAATAACAAAGAGCCTGCTAGTAATCTAAGATACTGATAGTTAATTTATTCGTGTTTTACCTAGATGCCATTAACAATTTATCAAACATGGGCTGTATTATTTTCTCTACCTGAAAACAGAGAGGAAATTGTTTACTACATTTGAGGTGACTATTTCCCATTTAATTGATTGAATAAATTCTCCACAGTGCAATGTGTAAATTATTTTGGTAGGAAATTTACCTTTTGGGGGAAAAGGTATTTTAAGTATTGATGATTCTTTGCAAATAATATATTTAATTCCAATGTACAAGAAAGTAAAAACACAAATATATTGTGAGATGCCTTATTAAAGTGTTTCAGATGTTTATAATTGTTTTAAACATGAGAATAATGCCAAGGCAGTATATTATTTTGTTTCAAATGTACAGGATGAATTACACCTTATGAAATATACTTTCTAACTTTGCTTCTTTTAAAGGTGATTTATAATTGTGAATTAAAAGTGTCTACTTTCAAAAACAAATTTGTTAGTGAGAGTTCAATGGCGTAATTTAGCCTACATGCAAATTTTCAGTTATTATAGGATTGACTCTTATCTACCAACTTAAGTATCTGCTTTAAAATCTCTGTTTATATTATGATTTACATGATATATTTATTACTAGTTTCATGGAATTTAAGCTGCATCTATTCTAAGGCCTATAATAATTTCACTTATCTTAATTAATTCTGTCTTAGTACCAGTGAACTGCAGTTAGATTGTTAATACCAGTCTACCTCGTGGTACCTTAGAGATCTGAAAGAATGTCAGCTGATTGAACTTTAATTTTCACCAAAATCATATTACTTATCTGACAGAATATGACTTTTAGAGATTTTTAACATTGACAGTTGTAACAGTATTGTCTTTTTCTTTTAATATGTTTATGTCTTTTGTTTTCATTGAGGAGTCTAAACCTGATGGATTGGTGGCTGATTCATCATCAGGTAAATTTATTTAAAGCAGAGATACATTATTTTTCTTTTTTCCTTTGATGGCTGCTAAATTAATATTTTTTTCAGGTTATATATTATAGCTCTAAAAGAGTAAAAATAATGGTCATATTCTAGGTTTAGAAAGTTACCTGTGGACATTATAAATTAATAAACCAGCTAAAATTTTAGTGATTTTTAGATTACTATTTTCTAAAGTTAGAAATAAGCATCCAGAATATTACATTGAAACAATTGTTTACCAGCACTCATCTGTCAGTTTGTTATATTCTGGTGGCTTGCATGTTGCTGTGAGGCTGGAGGCTATACCACAAGTATTTCAAATACCAGCAGGGTCACTTGTGATAGACAGGATTCAGCAGAGCTTCCAGATGTAGACAGACTGAGAAGAAGGATGGGGCCATCCACATCTGAAAAAACTAGCCATTGAAAATCTTATGAATAGCATTGAGTCACTATCTGCTATATTACTGGAAAAATTTACGAATAGCTGTGAAACATTGTCTGATATAGTACTCAAAGATAAGCCCCTCAGGTTGGAAAGCACTCAAAATATGACTGGGAAAGAGCTGCCTCCCCAAAGTAGAGTCGACTTTAATGAGGTGGATAGAGTAAATCTTTTGAGACCTTCATTTGCAGATGGGGAATGACTCAATATGTGAAGGCACAGCTGCAAACATTTGTTAATAATCATAACATGGAATGTATAAAGTACTGGAAGTTGTCAAAAATGAAATGGAGCAGATAAAGATCAATATCATAGGCATTAGGGAGCTGAAATGGACTGGTATTGGTCATTTTGAATCAAACAATCATATGATCTATGCTGAGAATGACATATTGAAGAGGAACAGCATCACATTCATCATCAAAAAGAACATCTCAAGATCTATCCTGAAGTACGATACTGTCAGTGATAGAATAATATCCAATAATATCTTGTAGATACAAGAAAGACCAGTTAATAATACTGTTATTCAAATTTACACATCAACTACTAAAACCAAAGATGAAGAAATGGAAGATTTTTACCAGCTTCTACAGTCTGAAATTGACCAAACATGCAATCAGAAGTATTGATTATTATTGGAGATTGGAATGTGAAAGTAGGAAACAAATATGAGTCATCAATAGTGGGAAAATATGGCCTTGTTGATAGAAATGATAGTGGAATCACATGATAGAATTTTGCAAGACCAATGACTTATTCATTGCAAATAGCTTTATCAGCAACATAATAGTGGCTATCCACATAGACCTGTCCAGATGAAATACACAGGAATCAGATTGACTACATCTGTGGAAAAAGGTGATGGAGAAGCTCAGTATCATCAGTCAGAACAAGGCCAGGAGTTGAATGTGGAACAAACCATCAATTGTTCATATGCACGGTCAAGTTGACGCTAAAGAAAATAAGTCCACAAGACTCAAAATACAAGCTTGATTATATCCTAGCTGAATTTAGAGACCATCTGAAGAATAGATTTGTTACATAGAACGCTAATGAGTTGAACACCGCACAAGTTGTGGGATGACATCAAGAACATCATACATGAAGAAAGCAAAGGCCATTAAAAGACAGGAAAGGAAGAAAACAATGAATGTCATAAGAGACTATGAAACTTGCTCTTGAATGGAGAGTAGCTAAGCAAATGGAAGAAATGCTGAAATAAAAGAACTGAACAGAAGATTTCAAAGGGCAGCTCGAGAAGACAAAGTCAAGTATTATAACGAAATATGCAAAGACCTGGAGTTAGAAAACCAAAAGGGAAGAACACGGTAGGCATTACTCAAACTGAAAGAACTGGAGAGGAAATTCAAACCTCAAGTTGCAATATTGAAAGATTCTACGGGCAAAATTTTTCATGATGCAGGAAGAATCAAAAGAAGATGGAAGGAATACACAGTCACTGTATCAAAAAGAATTGGTCAGTGTCCAACTATTTCAGGAGGTAGCATACGATCAAGAACCAATGGTACTGAAGGAAGAAGTGGAAGCTTCACTGAAGGAATTGGTGAAAAACAGGCTTTCAGGAATTGATGGAATACCCATTGAGATATTTCAACAAATGGATGTAGTGCTATAGGCACTTTCTCATCTATGCCAAGAAATTTGGAAGACAGGTACCTCGCCAACTGACTGGAAGAGATCGATATTTGTACCCATTCCAAAGAAAGGTGATCCAATAGAATGTGGAATTTATCAAACAATATCATTAATATTACATATCATTGATATTACACTAATATCAATATCAAAATCTTGAAGATAACTAAAAAATGGTTACAGCAGTATATTGACAGGGAAATCTAGAAATGTGAACTGGATTCAGAAGACATGTGAAATGAAGGATATCATTGCTGATGTCAGATGGATCTTAGCTGAAAGCAGAGAATACCAGAAAGATGTCTACCCATTTTTATTGACTATGCAAAGATATTCGACTGTGTGGATCATAACAAATTATGGATAACATTGGGAAGAATGTGAACTCCAGAACACTTAATTGTTCATATGAGGAACCTGTATATAGATCAAGAGGCCGTTGTTTGAACAGAACGACATGATACTGCTTGATTTAAAATCAGGAAGGATGTACGCCAGGGTTGGTATCATCATATTTATGCAGTCTGTGCTGAACAAATAATCTAGAAGCTGGACTCTATAAAGAAGGATGTGGTGTCAGGATTAGAGGAAGAACAATTAACAACCAGTGATAGGCAGATGACACAGCCTTGCTTGCTGAAAGTGAAGAAGACTTGAAGCACTTACTGATGAAGATCAAAGATTACAGTTTTCAGTATGGATTACACTTCAACATAAAGAAAACAAAAATCTTCGCACTTGGACCAATAAGTGATATCATGATAAAGGGAGCAAAGATTGAAGTTGTCTGGGATTTCATTTTACTTGGATTCAAAGTCAACACCCATGGAAGCAGAAGTCAGGAAACCAGATGTTGTATTGTACCAGGAAGTCTGCAAAGATCTTTTCTCTTTTTTTTTTTTTGAGTCAATTCTAATTCATAGCAATCCTATAGGACAGAGTCAAACTGCCCCATTGGATTTCCAAGGCTGTAAATCTTTTTTTTTTTTTTTTTTTAATTGAGAATTGGGTGAAAATTTACAGAACAAATTCACTTTCCATACAGCAGTTCACATATACTTTGTCTTATGACATTGACCACAATTCACTGAATACAACAGCTCCCCTCCCACTTCCTCCTGACAGTCACCTCTTCCCTGTGTCCATTTCTCCATGCACCCCTGCCCCCTGAGCTGTCTCCCTGTGCATAAACAGCCTCTCTTTCTCCCTTGATTGTTCTCTCCAAGGAGTGTATCTACCTCAGGCAAATGTTCAACTCCCATGCCTGCCCTTTGCTTGGCTGGAAGCCACAGGTGTGGGTTCAATTCCAGATCTGAAGGGCAGCTGGGGGCCATAGTCTCAGTGGTTCCACCAGGCTCTATCAGACCAGCAAACCTGGTCCCCTTGCAAAAGTTCTTTTTAAAGTGTTAAGAAGCAAAGATGTCACTTGAAAACTAAAGTGCACCTAACCCAAGCCATGGTATTTTCAGTCGCCTTATATGCATGTGAAAACTGGACAGTGAATACAAAAAGAGTTGATGCTTTTGAGCTGTGGTGTAGGTGGAGAATACTGAAAGTACCATGGACTTCCAGAAGAATGAACAAATCTGTCCTGGAAGAAGTGCACTGGGAATGCTTCTTGGCAGGTAGAATGGCCAGACTTTGTCTCACTTACTTTGGTCATGTTGTGAGAAGGGACCATTCTCTGGAGAAGGATATTATGCTTGGTAAAGTGGAGGGTCAGTGAAGATTGGGAAGACCCTCAATGAGATGGATTTACACAGTGGCTACAATGATGGGCTCAAACATAGCAAGGATTGTGAGGATGGCACAAAACTGGGCAGTCTTTTGTTCTGTCATATGTGGGGTTGCTGTGGGTCAGAGCTGACTCAGTGGCACCTAACAACAATATGGTTGTTTAGCCTAAGTTTACATGCATTTTAAGGAATGTATACTCTTCTTGCTTAGAAATGCAATGATGAAGCTAGTCTCTGTGCAGCTGTCTTACTGGAGGAATACTCAATGAATATTGTACATTGTTTTGAGGATGCTTGTATCTATTTTCTCTCTGAAATACCTTTCCTTTATGTGAGTGAAGTATTAGGAATTGACTATTTTAATTCATTAGTTTATTCAAAACCTTGATCATTCTTAAGCCATTTCTAATTTTATCATACTTTGTAACTAATTATCAGAGAAGCTGATTATATTCCTTTATGGTCAGTTGGCCGTTAGAGAATAACAACTCATATGCAAAGTCAAAACAAGTTTAAACAAATATTTGCAGATTATTGGGAGTGATTCTAAATATTCCTTTCATTTGTTTAAAATATTGGTAAACTATAACTTGTGCCTTAACTGAGTCATAGTTGCTTTATTTCTCAGATGTGAAAATAACTTTTTTTGTAACTGGGTAAGACTCATATTGATTTAACTCCTACAATGATTATCAGTAATTACAATTTAATAAATGTAATTAACATTCTATTTGAATAACTGTTATACCTTTTGTAGAGCTACAATCTTTGGAACAACAATTAGAAGAAGCCCAAACAGAAAATTTTAATATTAAGCAAATGAAAGACTTATTTGAGCAGAAAGCAGCCCAACTTGCTACTGAAATTGCAGGTAAATTGAATCAGAATTTTTTAGTAAATAAATCAATCTTATCTTTTCACTATTATGTATCTGAGACGTAAACGTGGTATGTTAATGTGATAAGGCAATTGTTGATTGATAGACTGTTGTGTTGGTTAGTGGAATTTAATGATATTAGGGTTGCTATGTAATTTAATTTCATTTCTCTTCCCCTTCACCTTATCCCTCAAAGGACTTGTTTTTCTCTGTAGAATTCTTTTGAATTTAATGAAGGTGAATTTTCTTTTGTACTATGCTTAAGATTATCCTACAAAGTATAATAGTAACATTTTTCTGGTTATATTTTTTGTTTCTAATGTTTTATTGTGATTTGGGTGAAAGTTTACAGAGCAAATTGGTTTTCAGTTCAACAATTCATACACATTTTGTTCTGTGACATTGATAGCAATCCCCCCAGTGTAACAGCATTTTTCCACTGCTTCTCTGTGTGTATCATTTCCATTCATTCTTCTTTCCTATCCCTTCCTGCCTTCTGAGTTTATCCCTGGCCAAATACTATCCTTTCAGTCTCCTACTGTTGATTGTTCTAGGGAATGTATATGTTCTGGTTACCTAGTGCCTCTCTGACAAGAATATACCACAAATGGGATAGCTTGAACAAATAGGAGTTTATTCTTACAATTTGGAGTCTTTAAGTCCAAGTTCAAAGTGCCAGGCTATAGGGGCTGGGTGAAAGCCCCTCAACCTTGGGGTTCAGCTCTGCTTCCTGCTCCTGGCCCACTGGAGCTAGAGGCTTTTCTTCACTCAGACAGCTGCTGGCTGCTGAGACTGCCAAGCCCAAGGTTGACAAGTAAAAGGCACAGTCCTGATGTTACCAAACAACACAGCAGGCCATTAATTCAAGTCCACTGAAAGTCTAAAGGTCAGTAGAGCATGACAAGCTGCTGAACAATGACATGGCTGCATGCAGGGTTCAAGCATGCCATAAGCTAGAGACCGCTCCCCAAAACTTCTCCTTATATACAGGAAGCAAACCACATCCCTAAGGCAGCTACTAAGCTGCTTAGAGTATATTCCACCATGGAATTGATTACCAGTCTCATCATGGGGAATACTGCATCCAGCTGCCCAGCCACTCAACCAGGCCTAGCCAGGTTGACACACAAACTTCACCACCACAGTATACCTCCTTCGTGTTGCTGTTCACCTCATAGGCTTGTCTGTTGTTTGAAAATTGAGCCAGTTGGGTGAGTTCCAGTCCTGAAAGGTATCTAAGGGCCATAATCTTTAAGGTTCTACCAATCTCTATCAGACAAGTAAGCTTGGTCGTTTTTATGATTTTGAATTTTCTTCCACATTTTCTCTCACTCTTTCCAGGATTTTGTAGTCAGCAGTGGTAGCCGGGCACCATCTTGTTCTTCTGGTCTCAGGGTCTTGGAGGCTGGGTTCTTTGTGGTCCATGAGGCCTTTGGACTAATTATTTTCTTGAATCTTTGATTTTTATCACTCTTCCACACTCTAGATGGGGAGAGACCAATAGTTGCACCTTAGCTAGCTGCTTATAAGTTTTTAAGACCCCCGTTGCTATTCACTGAAGTGTGATGTAGAACATTGTCTTTGTGGACTGTGCTATGTGAATTAACCTTTGTATCCCTGAGGCTATGGTTCTGAGTTCCCATACCCAGTAACTAGTTCCCTCAAGGTGTTTGGTTATGGCTAAGAAGTTTTCATAACTTTGCCCCCATATGCTTTACTTTATTCATCAATATATTTGAAGCATATGTATATACCATATGTAGAAATATCCTCTGTCAAACCTGTATATCACATTCCCACATCTGTTTAGCTTACATGTGTATATATGTATCCACTCATAGATTATGTTTATTACACTTATTGCAGGATTGGATATGTAATAGTGTTTGCCTGTGTTGCCTTTAACTCTTGTACTCTAGTGCTTTGCTTGTCTGGAGTTGCTTTCTTTTCCATATAAAGTTGCTAATTAGATTTTCCATTTCTGTAAAGAATGATGATGGAATTTGTATCAGGATTGCATTATATCTGTAGATTGCTTTGGGTTGTATTGACATTTTCACAGTGTCAAGTCTTCATATTCATGAGCATGGTATATTCTTCCATTTAGGTAGGTATTTTTCTTTCTTTTTTGTTTTTAATAGTAGCATTTTATACTTCCCTTTGTGTAGATCTTTGGTATCTCTGATTCTACTGAGATTTATTCCTAAGTACTTCGTGTTTTGTGTGGCTATTGTAAATGATACTGTTTTCCTGATTTCCTTTTTGGAGCTCTCTGTTAGTGTACAGGAATCTGACTGATTTTTCTGTGTTGATCTTATACCTGCCACTTTGCTAAATCCTTATTAGTTCCAATAGTTTTTTTTTAATTGAGTCTCTGAGATTTTCTATATATAGGATCATATCATCTGCAGATAGTTTTACTTCTTCGCCAATTTGTATGCCTTTTATTTCCCTTCCCTTATTGCTCTGACTAGGACTTACAATGCAATATTGAATAGACATGAGAGTAAAGGACATTCTTGTCTGGTTCCCATTTGCAAGGGGAATATTTTCAGTCTCTTTCCTTTGAGAATAATGTTGACCATTTGTTTTGTGTACAAACCCTTATTTATATTGAGGAATTTCCCTTCTAATCCTATTTTTCTGAGGATTTTTATCAAGAATGAGTGTGGGATTTTGTGAAATGCCTTTTCTTCATCAATTGATGTAATCATATGTTTCTTTTCCTTTGTTTTATTATGCAGTGGATTTCATTGATTGTTTTTCTAATGTTGAACCATCCTTACATACCTGGTATGACTCCCACATGGTAATGATATATTATTTTTTGATAATGTTGTTGGATTCTGTGGGCTAGAAGTTTGTTGAGAATTTTTGTATTTATGTTCATGATGTATATTGTTCTATTGATAAATTTCTTTTTCAGTGGTGTCTCACCCAGGTTTTAGTATCATAGTCATGTTTGCTTTATAGAATGAGTTAGGAAGTATTCCATCTTTTTCTATGTTATAGAATAGTTTGAGTAGTATTGGTGTCAGCTCTTTGATAGAATTCCCCATTGAAGCCATCTGGCCCAGGAATTATTTTTGTTGGTAGTTTTTTTAAATGATTGTCTTCAGTTTCTACTTTTGTCACATGTCTGTTCCTGTTTTTTACATCAAATTGTGTTAGTTTGGGTAGGTAGTGTGTTTCTAGAAATTTGTCCATTTCTACTAGGTTTACAAATTTATTGGACTATAGTTCTTCATTGTATTCTGTTATTATCCTTTTTATTTTCTGTAAGTTCTGTTGTGATATCAGCTATGTCATTTCTTATTCAAATTATTTGTATCTTTTCCTTTGTCAGATTTTCCAGTAGTTTGTCAGTTGTATTAGTCCTTTCAAAGAACTTCTAGTCTTGTTTATTCTTTCTGTTGTTTTTTTGTTTCATTTATTTCAGTTGAATATTTATGATTTCCTTTCATCTAGTGATGTTGACTTTTTTGCTCTTCTGTTGTAATTGTTAGGAGATGTTGGATTAAAGTACTGATTTCTTTCTTTCTTCTGTTCTGGTATGTGCACTTATTGCTATACTTTATCTTCTGAACACTGCTGGTGCTGTGTTCCAAAGATTTTGATATTTTGTGTTTACATTCTTGTTTGATTCAATTTTTTTTTTCCAATTTCATTGTTTATTTGTTCAATTACCCAGTCGTTTTCAAGGAGGATATTGTTCAGTTTCTTTGTATTTGATTTTTTTCCCTTGGTCTTTCATTAGACTATTATAGCATTGTGATCTGAGAAGATGATTTTTAGTATTTCATGTTTTTAAATTTATGAAGCTTGCTTTCTGACCTAGCATATAGTCTGTTCTGGAGAATGTTCCATGTGCACTGAAAAAGAATGTATATTGTGCTGTTGTTTGGTGGAGTGTTCTGTATATGTCATTGAGGTCAAGTTGGTTGCTTGTGTTATTCAAGTCTTCTCTATCTTTGTTGAATTTCTTTCTAGTTCTTTCTTTCACCAAAAGTGGTATATTAAAGTCTCCTACTATTATTGTGGCTGCCACATTTTTTGTACTGTGGTGGCTTGGTTGTTGCTATGATGCTGGAAGCTGTGCCACTGGTATTTGAAATACCAGCAGGGTCAATCAGGGTAGACATGTTTCAGCAGAGCTTCCAGACTAAGACAGACTAGGAAGAAGGATGTGGCAGTCAACTTCTGAAAAAACTGGCCACTGATAACTTTATGAATAACAGTGAAACATTGCCTGATATAAAGTTGGAAAAACTTATGAGTAACAATGAAACATTATCTGATATAGTACCAGATGATGAGCCCCTCAGGTTGGGAGCACTCAAAATATGACTGGGAAGTCAAAGTAGAATCTTCAAAGTAGAGTTGACCTTGATGATGTGGCTGGAGTAAAGCTTTCAGGACCTTCATTAGCTGATGTGGCATGACTCAAAATGAGAAGAAATAGCTGCTGGTATCCATTAATATTCAAATGTGGAATAGAGATCATGGGGATAGAGCATGGTTTGAAATTATGAAAGGTGTGCATCATAGCTGTATCCTTTCACTATACTTACTGTGTTTGCTGAACAAGTAATCTGAGAAGCTGGATTATATGAAGAGGAACAGGAGAAGGACCCATTAACAATCTGTGATATGCATATGACACTACCTTGCTTGCTGAAAGTGAAGAAGATATGACGCACTTACTGATGAAGATCAAAGACTACAGTCTTCAGTATGGCTCACACTTCAACTTGAAGAAAATTAAAATCCTCACAACTGAACTAATAAGCAACATTATGATAAATAGAGGAAAGATTGAAGTTGTTAAGGATTTCATTTTACTTGGTTCCACAATCAAAATTCATGAAGCATCAGTCAAGAATTCAAAGGATGTATTGTACTGGACAAATCTGCAAAAGACCTCATTAAAGTCTCTATAAAGATGTCATGTTGAGGATTAAAATGTTCCTGAGCGAATCCATGGTCTGTTCAAT